CCCAGCCCTTTCCCAGGGGCCGGGGGGGCTTTTTTTTCCCCCCCCAAAAAAAAAATTCAGCCCCCTTCTCCCCCGGGGGGGGGGAAAAAAAAAACCGGGGCCCAATTTTTAAAAAAAAAACCCCCCAAACGGTTGGGGGAAAAAAAAATGGGGAAAATTTTTTGGGAAAAGGGGGGGGGTTTCAAAAACAAAACCCAAAATTCCCCCCCCCAGGGGGGGGAACCCCCCCGGGACCCGTTCCTTGGGGAATTTTGGGGGAGGGCCAAAAGGGGGGGGGGTTTTTGGGGGCCATGGGGCAAAGGGGAACCTTTTTTCAAGGCCCCCAGGGGGAAACGGGCAAATTTGGGAGGGGGGGGGGGGGGACCCCCGCCAAAAAAGGCCCCCCCCGGTCCCCCCCCCCCCCCCCCCCCCCCCCCCCGCATGCGGACGCTTTCCTGCTGGGCTTCGCGTCCCTCCGATTACGCGGCTCCTTCGTATAATTTCGTGTGTTGATTGTTTAGGGTCCCTTTGAATACCTAGGGTTTGGGGCTATGAAGGGTCCCTTAGATGACCCCAAGCCCATGGATTTATGCCACTTGCCCCATTGCAGTAATTTCTGGCAACTTCAAGATTCTTCGTCTTTCAATAATTCTTTTACTACTTTTTTTTGGGTCCTTGGATGAAAAAAGCATGTCTGTATGTTCGGGAAAAGTCACTTGAGTTGGGTTACTTTTTAGGTGTGTTTTTCAAGGTTATATTACACGATGACATGGTGCTTTTTAGTTTCAAATCTGCGGTGGAACTGTACATGGAAGGTGGGATTGAAATCCTTTTTTGGAACCTGCAGAACGAAGGTTGACTTTTTGAATTGGTTGGTGGGATTCATAAGGTGTCTGTAGGGTGTCATCACTCTGCTTTTGTTTCAACATCCATCCTACCATTAAAAGGAATGAATTTCGTTATGGGTGAGAATCCATTATTTATTTTGTGACCATCGATGATTTATTGTATTGTTAGGGATGAGAATCCATGATTCATTAAGAAGATTCAGACTCAAGGTTTTAAGGTGATATTTCACTTGTGATGAGATCTTAAAGTGTCAAGTGATATTTCAAAATATCACTTGATACTTCACCAACTTATCTACTTTGTGATTTTGAAATCCAAATATCAAAAGAAGGGCCAGTGATATATCAAAAACTGCCCTGCTTGCCTTCACTCTCTTTCCACTTTAATTCCACATCAAGGGAGTAATAAAGTTTGAATTAGGGGATAACATCAAGGGGTGTCAAGGACATGAATCTCAAAGAAAGAGAATCCTCGATACACTCTTGTGTCATTGAAGAGAATTAGAAAGTCACTCAAAAGGTAATGTAATATTAACTAGAATGGATATTGCCAAAAACAAGAAGACTAGAAAGTCTTAAAATAAGACTAAGGATTAGAATGGCGTTGACAAGAGTGAAGAAGGCTTCACTCTTATTTCCATATATACTCTTAATTAGGAGCTATAAGACAATGTCATATAAAACTTCAAAAATATGTTGACTTTGCTAGCCACATGTCTTAACTTGCAAGACAAGTTATCTATGTATGCGCTAAATAGTTAGCTTGTTCCACAAGCTATTATGCGGAGTTAACTTGTTCTACAAGCTACCAATATGTGGTTAACTTGTTGGCCAAGTTTCTGACCTATAAATACATTTAAAATCAAAACTGTGTCTATGAAGCTTGTAGAAAGCTTCACTAAAAGACTTTATGAAATTAATCTATATTTACCTAGTTTTACCTAATCATATAGGTAATTATTAAAGTAAATATATATGTCTGTGAGATTACCCTCCTTTCTAGGGACGAGTTTCATAAGGAGCAGTCTTCATATGTTGAGGAAGTCTAAGATGCAACAAATTATATTTGCCACATACTTTGAACTTTATTCTCTTTGAAGATGGTTGATAGGCCTTCTCAGCCATCGATAGTATCCCATATCAGGACAAGAAGATGACCTTGTTATTTGGTTGTTGTTGACGCCTTCGTAACTTCCTTCAAATAAAACATTTGGAATACCATTAGGAGTTGTTCCTACCTCTAATAAAATTACCAAACAGCGAGAGTCTCTTCTAAGGTCATGATATCAAACATGTTGTATCTTGCCATCTATTCAAGGAAGGATATGTCATTCTTGAAGATCTTCATCTAGATTCTGTCGTCTTGAAGGTTGTGACAATCGCAATGTCTCATCTAATAAATCTGTAAATGAAAGCTCTTGAGTTCAATCTATTGGTTGTTGGTTCTCCATCTCCTTAGCATCACAAATACATACAAGCTACAAAGAAAGATTGAAGGTAGAATGTTATCTTGCTTTGATCTGATTTCTTTTATAGCTAAGATTTGCTATTCTTCATCTTGATTTTGATGGATTTTGTTGATGAAAAGCTTCAACTTTCTTTATTGCATTTGCAAGATTCTTTGATGACTTCTATGTGCGTTCACTAATATCATATCTACGCCAATGAACAAGATATTTCAACCTATTTTGATGTCGCCTTGAGTCTAAATCTTCTTCTACCTCGAACTCTTGATTATTATCTACTTCTATAGAAAGAGGTGGCATTTGTCTTCTTCCTAAAATATTCATTGTCTTATGTGGCTCAAGAATGGACACGTGAAATACAAGGTGGATTTTCATAGACTCTGGTAGATATAATCGATAAGCAACATGATTGATTTATTCACAAATGAAAAAAGGTCCCAACTTACGATTGTCCAACTTATCATAAGGACGAGTAGTCTTGATATTGCGATGAAGTAATTATATCTTGTCACCTATGTTGAATTGTAGTTGCTCCTTGCGATAGGCATTTGCATTGGTCTTTTGCCATCCTTGAGCTTCTTTTAATTGTATCTTTATTGTTCTATGTAGCTTTGATAAATGATTTGCTAAATCTTTGGCATCAAGATTATCAACTTTTAAAAAGCCAAAAGTATCAAGTCATAGATGATAACCATAATTAGTAAAGAAAGGTATTTGTTGACTAGAAGAATGTACTAAATTATTGTATGAAAATTCTGTCAATGGCAAAAGAGTTGTCCAATTATCTTGATGATAATTGATAATACATCTCAAATATTATTCCAAAATTTGATTCACCTATTCTATTTGTCCATCAGTTTGAGGATGAAAAGTCGAAGAAAGCTTTATATCTACTTTTAGAATCTTAAATAAGATTCTTTAAAATCTTGATACAAATTGAGTCCCCTTATCTGATATAATATCCTTTAACAATCTATGATAGCGATAGATATTGTCAATAAAAAACTTAGTTGTTTCTTCACCTAAAATAAATTTTGTACATGGTACAAAATGTACCATTTCGATGAAGTGATCTACAATTACGAATATGGAATTATGTAAACTTGAGACTGGAAGATCTGTGATAAAATCCATAGAAACAGAAAACTATGGTTGTTCTGGAATAGGTAACAGTTGAAGCAGTCCATAAGGTCTATGGCGAGGAGTTTTGGATCTTGAACAAGTATCACATGATTGTACAAAGACTTTTATCACCTTCCACATTTGCGGCCACTAAAAATCTCTAGATATAAGCTCTAAAGTCTTGTTGTATCCAAAATATCTTGCTATTAAAAAGTCAAGACATGCTTGAACAACACGTAAACGTGCTTCTCCTTCTAGAACATATAGGCGTCCTTCAAAATAGAGAAGGTTGTTCTTGAATTCAAACTTTGAAATATCATGAGACTTAGAAGAAAGATTCTTGATATCATGAATAAGAGAATCAAAGGACATTTAATTGAATTTACTTGATAAAGGTTGAATCAACAGTCAATATTGATTTTATTGCTCGAAGATGAAAATGCTTGAATTTCAAAAAACGTGCTAACATGAAGTAATGAAGATTCTTATGATCCACATATATTATAACTGGACTTGAAGCGCCTTCTAGATAATAATGCTATTCTTAAAATGAATCCAGGGTTACAAAGAGCCCTTTGTGATGGATCTCATAATTAGTTTTAGCTGCTAAAAATTCTTTAGAATGAAAAGCTATTAGGTGGAGTTTATTATTTGTTCCTATTTGTAACAACATAGCACATATAACAAAGTTTGACGCGTTTGTTTCCATAAAAAATGCCTTCGAAAAGTTGATGCAATATAAGATTGGTACAAAAATAAATTCCTTCTTTAAAGCATGAAATGATGCTTCTGCTTCTTTATTCTATTTAAGTTTGTCTTTACAAGTCAAACGTGTAAGTGGAGCTGAAACTTAAAAAAAGTTCTTTATGAAGGTTTGGTAGTAATTAGCAAAGCCTAAAAAATATTGCACATCTTGTATTGTTCTTAGAATCTTCCAATGTATGATAGTTTGGACCTTCTTGGGATCCATCATAAGGCCTTCATTGGAAATGATGTATTCTAAAAAGTCAACTTGAGTAGTGTGGAATACACACTTTTTCAACTTCACATATAATCCTGCATTTCTAAATTTTTATAACATATGACGAACATAAAGTTCATGTTCTTCTATATTTTGAGAATAGATTAGAATTTTGTCTAAATAACAAATAATAAAATCATCTAAAAACTCAAAAAAAAAATCATTCATAAGATGTTGAAAAGCGGCAGATGCATTTGTGAGTCCAAAAGGTATGACATTATATTCAAAATATCCATACCTAGTTTGAAAAGCAGTCTTTTATTCATCTCCTTCTTTGATACGAACTAAGTTGTATGCTTCTTGTAGATCAATTTTGGTATAGATCTTTACTTGATTGAGTTGGTCAAGAAGTCTTGAAATCAAAGGCAAAGGATACTTATTCTTGATGGTGATCTTATTGAATCCGCAATAATCCATACACATCCACAAAGATCAATCTTTTTTTTTCACAAATAAGATAGGAGCTTCGACTGGGGATTTAGAATGGTGTATGAAGTTCTTTGTCAAGTTTTCATCAATGTATTCTTTTAATGCATCCAATTCATTTTGCGATAAGATATAGATTGGTCTAAATGGTGGTTGAGCTCCTTGTTGCAAATCAATTGAACAATCATAAGGTCGATGCTTTGGAAGAATATCTGCATTCTTCTTTTCAAAAACGTCTTAGAATTCTTCATATTGGCTAGGAATATCACTTGATGTTTTTTCATCGATAGAAATGGGCATAGCATATATAACAAAAGATGATCCTTCTTTTGCAGCATGCATAAAAGTTCTTGCACCTACCAGTAAAGATTTGGATATACTAGACTTATGTACTTCTATTTTACTAACTCGATTTTGGATTATACTACCAAAAAAGTTAAGGTTACAAGAAATCCAATCTATTTGAAGGTTATATTTTTTTAGCCATGATAATCCTAAAATAATTAGATTAGAGGGAGATCTTATTATCTTAAATACTACTACGCTGTTATCATCTTTAATTATTACATCTAAATTAAAGATTATTAATTAAAATCTCATAGGTAATATTTTCAAAAGACAACAAATGACCATCTATGACTTCTACATGTATGGATTTAGTTTTCTTGATTAAAGATATTTTTTGATTTTTGACAAAAATTTTGTCTATAAAATAGGCTCAGGCTCTTCAATCTAATAATATAAACACTTTGTGATTATTAGGTCCTAAATATACATCTATTTTAAAAGAAGATAAAAGGTCTAAGGAGAAAATAGGACCTTTACTAGGTATTGTACATGATTCTACTCGCACGGTCCCTATTGTAGCTAAAGGAATTTGTTTTTGACACATTATCTTCTTTGGTAATTGTGCTCCTCATTTTGTAATTGCATTGCTTCTTTAGACAATGTTGAGTAGTGTGCTTAGCTTCTCCACAGTATAAACACAAATCCTCTTATTAACATCAAGTTTTTTCCTGTTCTGTGAGAGTTTTAAAACGTATTGTATCAATTTGCATTGGTTCGGCCTTGATGAGTATATTTTAGAAAACTTGGAAGTTTCAGCCATTTCTGGGCTTTTTCTTCTCCTCTCAAATCTTTGTACTTGATTCTTTTTAAATAATCAATTGTTACATGCAATGGCTTGAGCAATAAATTATTCAAAAGATTCTATTTTTAACATTATTAATAACAAATCTTTGATACTATCCTTTAATCCATATCAAAATTGATTAATGAGTGCTTTGTCATTCTAGTCCACATTGCAAAGAAGATTTTGGAATTTAGCAATATATATATGGTAGCTGATTGTAATCCTTATCATAAAAATAAGAGTTTGGTCCCTTCTACTTGTTCTCAATCACTTTCTCCAAATGTCACTGTAAACACTTCTAGGAATGAATTCAAATCATAAAGGAGTTGCAAACTTTTTTTCATTAAAGGTGCAAATCAAGAGAGAGCTCTTCTTTATAGAAGTGCGCCTATAAATCCAACTTGAGTAAATCCATCTGGATATTGGAAAGGGTGCAACCTTAGATAGAACTTAACTTGTTGCAAAAATCTTTGAAATTTTGATCTTGTTCCATCAAACTTCTCAGGCATACTAATCCTTCTCTCCATCATACTTGTAGAAGCAAAACTCCTTGAATTTGGTTATAAGGTCGATCTACTTGCTTCCTTCAATTGCACAACTTCTTGCCATAGACTCTGAACTTTTTCCATAGGTGTAGGCATAGTATTTCTATAATTCACGTTAAAAATATATGAGATTTTGACTTTAAGAGTATTGACAAGCTCATGAAGATTCGCAATAGTTACAAATTTATTCTCACTTCCATTAAGTGTAGTGTCCATAATCTTTCCTTTAATAGGCAACTCAAATAAATCCAAAAAATCAAATTAGAGGAGGATAATTTGCAATCTCTAATAAAAATTTCTACAAAGAGGGATAATCCACTTTCTTTAAAGAAAGATCAGTTTTAGAAAACAAGATTTTTTTGTTTAAAAGATGAATAGTCCGCAACCTTCAAAATACAACAATAGAAGTGGGATAATCCAGTCACTTCTAAAACAAGACAAAAATAATATGTTAGCATTCTTGTCAACTAGTCAGGGATATGAATCTCAAAGAAAGAGAATCTTCAATACACTCTTGTATCAGTGAAGAGAACTAAAAAGTCACTCAAAATATAATATAATATTGACTAGAATGACTATTGTTAAAAACAAGAAGATTAGAAAGTCTTGAAAAAGACTAAGGACTAGAACGGCATTGACAAGAGTGAAGAAGGCTTCTTTCTTGCCTCCATATATACTCTTAACTAGGAGCTACAAGGTGATGTCCTATAGGACCTCCAAAACATATTGACTTTGTTAGCCACACATCTTAACTTGCAAGATAAGTTATCTATGTATGCTCCACATGGTTAGCTTATTCCACAAGCAATTATGCAAAGTTAACTTGTTCCACAAGCTACCAACATGTCGTTAACTTGTTGGCTAAGTTTCTTACCTATAAACACATCTAAAGTCAAAATCGCATCTATGAAGCTTATATGAAGCTTTACTAAAGACTTTATGAAATTAATCTATATTTACCTATTTCTATTTAATCATATAAGTAATTATTGAAGTAAATATATATGTCTGTGACAAGGGATAATAATGATTGAATGATGATATTTTGATAGGTGATATTTTGAGTGATTTGTAATATTTGATTTTCCAAAAACCAAAAACTTTCAATTTTTTGTTTCCTAAAAATCTTAAGTTTAATTTCCATTATTATGAGAATCCGTGATTTATTGTATGAAAATCCATTATTTGTTATGTAAAAATCCATAATTTAGTATATGATTTATTGTATTATTAGAAGTGAGAATCCATGATTCATTAAGGAGATTCAAACTTAAGATTTTTGGATAATGTTTCATCCATGATGAGATTTCAAAGTATCTAGTGATATTTCAAAATATTACTTGATACTTCACCAAATTATCCACCTTGTGAGGTGGATGATTTTGAAATCCATATACCAAATGAGGGATTGGCAACATATTAAAAATTGCCTTGCTTGTCTTAACTCTCTTTTGACTTTGACTCCATACTAAGGAAGTAAGAAAGTTTGAATCAGGGGGATAATTTTTGGAGTAATAAAGTTCAAAAAATAATATTTTAGGAGGTGATATTTTTCTTATTCCAAGATATTTAGTTTTCCAACAATCTTAAGTGTGAATCCCCTTATTATGAGGATCCATAATTTATTGTATAAAGTAGAATACTATTTTTGATTTTGGCCTTGTAGAAGCATGTTTTTAACAATCATGAACTGCTTTATGTGAAAAAAATCAACATATATGCATATATATATATATATATACACAAAATCACTAAAGCCACACCTCAAAAGGAATTGCACTTCACAATTTCTTTTGGAATATTTTTGAAAAGCTTGGCCATTGTAACAACTTGCATTTGGGTGGAGGAAGTATTGGAAGTTAGGATGTTGTGTGTATGCACAAGTGGAGAGCAACAAAGGAGAGCAAGACTCAACACAAGTAAAGAGAGGCAAAGGAGGGCACTTAGAAAGGGGAGTTGAGGGGAGAGCAATAGTATACACATGTGAGGTGTGGCTGTAATAATACTGAGGTGTCACTTTAACAACTTCCTATATATATATATATATGTGTGTGTGTGTGTGTGTGTGTATATATATAGAAATTCTTTTGTAATGAGAAGCTTTATTGTGCATAACTTCTGTTACAATTTTAACAAGAAGACAAGACTTATTGAAATCCTCAATATCATATCTTTACAGTCAACGAAATACTCCATCCTGCCATTTAACAGTGAAAAGAGTCAAAACAATTTTTCTATATCTTTGCTTTTGCAACAGCAAAGATGCTCCTTGGCTATTTTTCATCAAGCATCAGGGAAATTTTATAACACTGATTCTAATCACCAACGTTTACGATGCTAAGCTGAGATCTGTAAGTGTGCCACTACATGTCCCCTAGTTTTAGATCATTTCAAACCTAAAAATGCAAACTTTTGACTTGAACAACCAAAACCTGCTACTGTTTTCCACAATGCTTAATTATGAGAACAATCAGGAAATGGGGAAATACAAAAGCGCACATTTGTCATGAAAAGTGCTTTGTTTTCGAAAGTGAAGTGTATAGTTGAAAATTTCCTAGAGAAGCATGATCGTCGCATTGATATGCGATGGGCTACCACATTCCACCGCTAATCACGAAGCCTCTACAGCAGAGGAGGACGCTTCCCTTGACTTGGTGTAGAGAAATCTCAACCTTGCAATTTCAGGAAAGTAGCCACAGAATCACCTGGTCATTCTTTCCTTTTCACTAGGAAAGACCTCAGGAAAACCAGGGTCTCCCTCGAAAACAAGAAGATGATGGTCAATTATTCTGGAAGCATCCAAATTGCGAGAATCATTACTTCTGAAGTCGAAGATGGGAGATGTAAGGCTGGCTCCAGATTCACGACCTTGATCTCATTACTAGCGTCGTCTGGAGCAAAGAGGAAGTCTGTGTTTTGGTGCTGGATTTATGGTATATGTCGGTGAGCCTGCACAACGCTGTGGCGACATTATACCGTCAGAAGACTTTTGACCAAGCCGAATGACTTCTAACAGGTATAATTGGACAAACTATCATGAAGCTTGAGTTGAACCCACAAAAAATTGAAGGATTGTACCACAGGAGTCAGGAGAGTTTACAAAAAGCTTCCCAAATTATACACCACATGCGTTATTCGTGCAGTGGAGGTTTGAAGCAGAACCAAGCGAATCATAGTGTCAAAGCCCGTCATGAATTTTTGAATTCTCATTACTTGCCGTTAGGGGAGTGATTATTTGTTCGATTTGAAGAAACATTGGTTACTTGTAAGGGGTGACTAGATCTGGGTAAGGGGACCTTATCCAGGATGACCCTTGGTGGTCCAGTATTCGGCCGCTTGGAGCGGCGTTTGACGGCAGGTGCCAGTTTGTAACTATCAGCAAAACCAAGTCTGACTCGTCATTGGAATCTGCAAGTGCCAATTCAGTTACCAGTTCCGCCACGTGTTTTGTTCAGTCAGCTAATAACAATATGGCACAGCACATAGTGTCAGCCGACCATGTTGCTGCTCACGATGGCTTGAGAGGGATAGACTCATTACTACTCCCTCACAGCAAATGTAGGCATGAAGGAAATCCTGAATTTCTTACTGGATTTGAAGATCTCAAGTTAAGAGCACTTCCCCTTTCAAGGATAAATTGCAATATGATAACTATGTAGAAGATGAGTCGTCTTCTGACTGGTTATCCAAGTCAAAACATTTGAAAGCTGGTTTCAAGTTTTGAAACAGAAAGGGCAATAAAACATAATGTAACACAATTTCTTTTCCCAAATTACTGTTAGCTCATTGTCCAACAAATCAGGAGGCGATCAAAAGCGTCCTGGCAAGAGTGGCCACAACTGCGAAAACTTTCGACAAGGGTTACCATTTAGTGCGGAGTAGTTGAAGGTTATCATCAAGTCCTACAAGTGCTGCATGAAGTGTAAAGCTGCAAGGGTTGTCATGAGCTGCTGTCACATTCAAAAAGCAGGGTAGAGAGTAGCAATCGACCCTCCTTTGGGGATGTTGACGGATTTGTAAACACTCTCGAAGATGTCAACACCCCAACGGTCCTTGTTGTCCAGAGCCACTAGGCCGCGATCGGTGCCAATCGTGAGTTCGAAATGCTGTTTCTGCTCGGAACCTTGAATCCAAATTTCCACCAACACCTTGCCCGCTTCTATGTTGTTTCCAATGCTCGCTGCATCCCAGAAGCACCACCAAAATATTAAACAAAAGAATGAACAACAGCCCACTTGCGCATTGTCATTACGATCGGGAAAACAGAAACATCATGTGCACTAACCGTACGATCTGGGACCGACTTTGATGTTTGCGTAGCCTTTAATCTCAGCATTTGAGCCATTGTCGAAGCGCACGTTCACCATTACATTCCTCATGCTCCTGTTGCTGACGAAAATATGGTTTCTGTCCTCGACACCAGCAACAGAAATCCACATGGCGGTCATGACCAGAACCACAACTATGAACCCCACAGAAAATTTCATGCTGGGATACTTATTGGCACAAGGGTCAGGAAATCCGGAAACTGGAAGTGGGATGCAGAATCAGAAGTCGATTCAAACAGTGCGGATGCGTGGGAAAAACTTGATTTTATCGTTGCCTCCACCTGACCTCGATCGAGACGGTTAGAAACTCAACAATTAACGAAATTGTTGCTTTGGTGTCTATCCGATGTCTCCTCCACGTCCATTGCCACGTCAAGCGACATCCCACCAAGTTCGGGATTTAGGTTAAACGAGTTTGTGCAACTTAAGCTTGAGGTTATAAATATAAGTAACACTTCGAGTGTATGACCGCTATGTTGATCAAAGCTGCTTAGCATTAGACTTAGAATTAACAATAAATTTTCATATAAAATTCTAACACATTGAAAAAGCAAGAAAAGAAGATGAGATTCTTGCCGTCCAGTGAGGATGAAGAGGTAAGAGGACGTATTCGTGACCCAGTGGACGTTCCCGACGATTACAGTTGTAGTTGGATTTAGAGAGTCCCCGCATGCAAGTTTCGCAATAATAATCTTAGATGCCATGTGAAGGAGCATGCTATGTTCATGGAAGCAGCACGGTAACAACGATCAGTTGGAATCATTCAAGATTGAAGATGTGGAGCAGCAATGGAGATAGGCTGACGAATTTGTAACAGTATGCTGCATCAGTAGAAGTAGCTGCCTTAAATACATCAGAGTAAAACGAAGTTTGATCAATTTCCGAAATGCATAATGTTTCATAGAGAAGGCCGTGCCACCCTCACAGATATGACACTCCATAGAACCCAATTTCAGTAATATTATCTTACAAACAGGGTTGCATCAGGTGCTAGGCAAAGGTGAACAGTGTCAACGATGAGCAGGAGCGACGGGCGCTGCTACGCCCAACACTGCTGCCAAAATATGCCGCTAAAAATGCTTCATTGAAGAAGCCACCAACTAAATGTCTGATGTAATCGAACTGCAGGGGCAGTTCCCAATCCTACTTTACCATTCGATGAAATCTTAATTCTAAATAGTACAATACAGATTGCAAGCGACAGAATTGGATCGGATCAGACCCATATATTCTCCAAGATCACAGTAACACGAACTATTCACAATAATCATGTGCGTTCTGCATCCAACTTCTGATGCAACCAATGAATTGAACGCAATAATAATGGTCAAATGTGGGATATAGACTAGGGGAGTTGCCAATTGGAAGGGAACTTCGAGCCCCCTGTGGTTGACACGAGTTGTGCAGGTGGTCAATGATGGCATAATTAGAACCACCCATACCGAACCTCTATATACTTGTTTTTGATCCACCGGCAGCCGCTCCTGACACTCTCCTTCACCTTCCGCTCCACCGTAAACACCTTGTACCTGGCAACACGCTTCTTGCGCCGCGTCTCAGGATCCGCTTGTAACCACGACCCACGAGCTATCTTAGTATCTTTCGTTCTACTCGCATCGGCGAGATCGGAGTTGCCCGCATTCCTACACACGTCACTGTGATGTCCCACCGCCATTCTACCGACACCCAAATCGTAATGCCACACGGACAAAGACAAACCCAATATAGACTGAACCCGAATCCTTAAGGCAACAACGACAATCCAGCTGGATCAATATGCAACTCTCACATGACGCGAACATGTGCATATCACCCATGAGAACCAAAAACTTCGACTACAAATCTAACTTCACCACATTCCCCCCAGCTTCATTCACCAACCATGCAAAAAATACCACTAAAAGTCGCCACTACCCTCCAGCGGGAGCCACTCAACAAAAACCTCAAACTGTCCTCCGAACCCTAATTGCCCACAACAACACTTTGATACGAGAAGTTGAGTAGCGATGCGAAAGCCCAGGACATGCAGCTGAGCTCTACATGGAACTCTGTACAGCGAGCTACCGTTAGATGACGACGGGCAGATGATCCCACAGCCAGCCCGGAAAGCGTGACGAGACGGCTCCAAAAGCAGAGCGGCCCACCTTGACTACAATTTTGGCATTCCCAGTAAACACGCATCCCGTGTCAAGGTAGATCGCCACCGGACCTAATGTGAGCGTTAGATGGTGGTCGGTAGGCTGAGCTCTCGCATTGGCACAGAGATGGTGGCCCCGCCCTCCCTCCCTCCTCACGATGATCCCAGTTGCAGCAGCAGGGCCATCATCTCGTGACGAGGAGAGACGATTGCAAGCGGACTCTCTCACTCTCACTCACTCTCTTCTTCTCCATCGCCCACCCTCGCAGAATTGTGTCGCAGGAACCACTCCATCCAATCGACTGGCTCCGCAATTTTGGGCCGTCGGATCGCTGCTGCCGCTCAGATGCAATCTCAACCGCTGATCGGATTTCTGGGAACGGAGGGAGGGAACATAGGTGTACCAGGGGCGCGGGCAGGCAGGTTGGAGGGGGGGGGGGGGGGGGGGGGCAGGCTGTGAACTCAGAACCCTTTCCTGATTGGGCCCGCACTGATTCACATTCACATAAATGGGTGCTGAATTTTGCTCAGGGGCTGCCATCTCTATCCCCACTTTTCAACCATCACTCTTGCAAAACATCTTCCTGGAAACAAAAGGATCATGTACTTGTATCTTTGTATTAGAATTTATATAAGAGTATATGAAAGAGTTACTTTGAAGCAAGATATACCTCACACATAGAAACCTTTACTTCTAAGAATAAGTATAGTTATATAAAATTAAGATGATATGTTAGAAAATTAACCAGTTTACTAGTTATTTAATCTTGTAAAATTTTATTTAATCTTGTCATGACTATTTTCCAATGTTTTTAGAAGTATAAGCATAATAAAGAGTTGCAAAAGTACTATTCCTGAAAAAATGTAAAATCAAATTTGTATTAAACATTAGAAATTGGAAAAAGATCTAAGTTATAAACTTGTTTTGAAGCATTATAAGAAATTTGTATAACATTAAAGTTAACGAAATAATATATATATATATATATATATATATATATATATTTATAAAACTAAATAACCTCAAAAGAAGTAAATGAAATAATATAATTGAATAAAAAAAAAATTTATGTTTGTATATATATATATATATATATATATATATAATATAAATCAAAGAAGTCTCTAAATTACATTTAGTGGAATTATTTTCAAGTAAAAAATATATATATCTATATATATATATATATATATATATATATAAAAGATGATAAGATATATATTTTTATTAATATTAGTTTTTTATGTATTTTATATTAAAAAATAAATTAAAATTATATATATATATATATATATATATATATATATATATTTATAAATATATGTATGTGTGTATGTGTGTATATTTACATGTGCACATAAAAAATTATGTTAAATATTTTTTTATACAAATTTTATATTTAAATTAAAATACTAAAATATATTTATAATAATAAAATAGATAAAAGCTTAACACAAAAATATATTGAAACATCATTAATTTTACAATACATGTTGTTTAAAATAATATTATTGAAATAAACTATAGTATAGATAAATCAATAATCAAAATAAATAAAATAATATAAAAACCTTAATGGTATCTTTTATGTTATTATTTTTGTATCTTTTAAAATATATATATAATTTTTTTTTATAAATATACAATTATATAAAAAAAAACATAATTAAAGTTGTGAGATATATTTAAGTTAGTATTTAGTTGTATTTTAATAATAATTTATAAATTTTATTTTATTATAAGTTTAAAATTTAAAATATCATATTTATTAATGATATATATCTATTATAATGGCCATTAATATTTATTCTAGTAATTACTTATATGATTTAGTAGAAGTAGATAAAAATAGTTTAATTTCATAATATCTTTTAAAAAAGCTGCTTAGAAGCTTTACAGATGTTACTTTAATTTTATACTTGTTTATAATTAATTAATAGTTAAAAATGTAGTTAACAAGTTAGCCATGTATTATATATGTTGATAGCTTGTAGAACATCCTAACTATATGGCACACATATAGAAAATTTATTTTGCAAGTTAAGACATATATCTAACAAAGTCAAAACATATTGGAGGTCCTAAAAAACATTGCTATGCAGCTCTTAGTTAAATAGTATATATGGAAGTAAGAATGAAGCCTTTTTCACTCTTCTCAATTTCTTTCTTGATTCTTATCTAGTTTCAAAAATCTTCAAATTTCTAATCTTTGGCAATAATCATTATAGTTTTTTTTTGAATATATTGACTTTCTTACTATTATTATGTCATCTCTCTTTGATACTTACTTCATTTTTTTATGTATCTTTTTTTGGATTCTTGTTCTTGATAAATTAACAAAAGTACTAATTCATTATTCTTATCTTGTTTTTAGAAGTGAATAGATTAATCTACTTCTATTATTGTATATTAAATTTAACTTGAGGATTTATTAAGTTTTTTGAAATAAAAGAAAAAATCATAGGTACAATACTTGGCAGAGGTGAAAATAGGTTTGTTACTATTGCAGATCTTCATGAACTTGTCAACACTTTTATGATGGAAATTTTATTCATCACCAATTTCAACCATAGAAACACTATTTTTATGCATATAGAAGAAGTTCAAAGTCTTGTGCAAAGGAACACAATTAGCCATTATATATACTATTGAATTCTAAAACCTTGCTTGTGATGTAGACTAAAACAACAAAGTCCTTATTAATCAATTTTGATATGAATTGAAGGATTGTGTTAGAGATTTGTTATTGATAGTTTCAAAGGTAGATTCTTTAAAACAATTTATTTCTCAAGCTATTGCATGTGACAATTAATTATTTGAAAGGTGTCACGAATAAAGATTTGGTTGGAGAGGAATAAATCAAGTAATGACAAGAGTTTTTAAGTTTTCAAATACTTATTCATCAAGGCCGAAATTAATGCAAATTGATACAATATATTTTAAATCTCTCACTAAGTAAGAAAATACTTAACATTTTTAAGAAAAGATGAAAAAAAAAAAGAATAAATGATAAAAAAGATAGTAAAAGATTTAATCTTAATCTTGCTTTTTTATAGAAGGAACTTCTATTTATTTTGTAGAATCATAAATGAGCCAAATCAAAGTAAATGAGCTAAGAAATGATATAAGTATGTATAGGAAGGAATTAAGAGTAGATTTTAGCAAAATTTACTTTAAGAAGCCAAAAATTTATATCCAAAGAGAATTGATTGTCACTTGGATCAAAATTAGATCCTAATGCACATAATCACATATCTATAGTAATTTTAGGACACTTTGAGAGATCAAAAAATAAGATTTGAGAGCAAACTTGAAGAAAGATTTTTGGACATTACTTTTATGTCAATTAAGTAATGTCCAAAAATCTTTTATGTCATTAAGATCTTAGAAATTGTAGTTTGAGGATTAATGAATATTTCTAAGATCTTTAGAAATCTATCAATTGAATTGAATTGATTGATTGATTGATTGATTGATTGATTGATTGATTGATTGATTTTTTTTTTTTTTTTTTCTTTTTATATGAATATTAGACTTAATTTCTAAAAAATTTGATAAAAATTAAAAACAATTCAATGGTTTAAAAAGGAGATATTGGTATTAGAAGTTCAACATTCAAATTGAACTAGGAGGCTGCCTAGCACCTAATTGAATTATCTTATATTTTTCTCAATTTGTAAGTGCAATTGATTTCATCTTTCTTGTGCTTGTTCCTAATTAAAACATTAAGAATTGATATCAATGGTTTGATCATTAATATTTGAGATTTCATTTTGCTATAGGATTTGTCAAAAGTTTGTTTAAGATCTAAGATTTGATTAGGATTTGGTTTAGGATTTGTTTGGAGTTTGGCTAGGATTAAGATTTGCTTAGAGTTTGGTTAGGATTAAGATTTTCTTGGAGTTTGGTTTAAAGCTTGACTAGGAGTTGATTAGGATTTTCTTGGAATTTGGTTTAGATCTTGACTAGAAGTTGATTAGAATTTGTTCAGGATTTAGGATTTTATTAGGATTTTATTAGGATTTGATATACAATTTGATTAAGATTTAATTAGGATTTTAATTAAGATTTGATCTAAAATTTGGTTAACATCCAATTAAAGTTTTAATTAGAGTTATACTAAGATTTTTATTTTTAGTATTATTTTAAAGAATTTTTGTTGTTTCTTTAAAGAGTCATTTCTAATATTTCTTTAAAAGATAATTTTTATATTTCTTTAAGATTTCTTATTATGTTTCTTTAAGGTAAGTTTAGGATTTTTTTGTATTTATTTTATAACTTCTTTTAAATTTACTTAAGATTGGTCAAAGTTTGATCAAGATTATTAAGGTCTACTTAAAGTTATTTAAGATTCTATTAGATTTGGTAGGATTATTTTTGCATTTTTACTTACCTACCACAATTAGGCACCTGGTGTATTCTCAAGCAAGAACACACGTAATATTACATTGTGCAGTTAAAATCATGTATAATATATAATAAAGGTCCTATTCTCTCTTTAAATCCCTCACCTTATTTTATAATATGTATATGTTTAAGACCTAAAAATCATAAAGTCTTTGTCTTATAAGATTCAAGAGCCTCAATTTTTTTTATAGACAAAGATTTTATCAAAAAATAAGAAATATTATTAGTCAAGAAAACTAAATCAATACATGTAAAGTTATAGATGATCATTTGTTGTCTTCTAGAGATGTTATTCATGAGACTACTTTTTTAAATATAGTAATTAAAGATCATAATAATATAATAATATTTAATATAATGAGATTTCTTTTTAATCTACTTATTTTAGATTTCTTATGATTAAAAAAATATAATTTTTAATTAGATTTAAATTCTTATAAGCTTAAATTTTCTTATAGTTTAATCTAAAATCCCATTAATCAAATAAAAATACATAAGTATAGTACATCCAAATCTTTACTAGTAGTTGCAAGAGCTTTCATACATGTAGCAAAAAAAAGTCAACTTTTGCCATATATGTCATGTCCATTTTTGATGATAAAAAGACATTAAATCATACTCCTAGCAAATATCAAGATTTCTAAGACATTTTTAAAAAAAATAGGTAGATATTCTTCTAGAGAATTAACCATATGATTTTTCAATTGATTTACACAAAAGAACTCAATCACTATTCAGATTGATCTATAGCTTATTGCAAAATGACTTGGCTACACTAAAAGAATACATTGACAAAAACTTTAGTAACAACTTTATATGCCATTTAAAATCTC